CATGGACTTCACTGAAATCATTAAGTTCTTCAATGGTCGTTAAAATATGGCTCTTTACAGCGGACATGGTTGACAAACAATCACTACCAAAACAGTTTTATAATTTGGTCCTTGGCTTGATGAAGCCAGCTCTGTGAAGGCTTAGTTAATAACCTAAGAGATGTATTGAGGTTGTAAATGCAAAATGTGTACAGTAAATCCTCCAATGGAACCTTGTAGCAGGGAATTTGAAAATGATTATTTACCATTTGCACTTGTGCAACTAATATATTTTAGTTGCATCATGGGAATTGTAGGAACCATCATTGTAGAGCTTGACTTACAATAGGGACCTAAAGCTGAATACTCATGTCGCCATCTGCTGCACCGATTTGTCCATTCTTTAAAATATCTTCTCACAAGTCCCCAGTATTATAAACCTGAACTGGACCTGAGTCCTGATTAAGATTTGTTAAATAAAGAGCTCTGATAGGTTGGTTGTTTTTACCACCAGGAACAGTGAATTAAACAGCAATGTATAGGTCGGAACCAGGCTTAAACTTAATAAAATAGCAATACTAAATAACTAGAATAATCATTTAATTGTAATCCACTGGAAACTGATGCTTCACTGTTGAGCCATGTCACTGGTTGCTAAATAGAAAAATGTAAATTAAACTAGGATGATTTACAAACTAGCTGTTGACACATCTGGTGTTCCCAGACATTTAATAAAATGCATTTCCATAAGTAATCCTTCTTCTGGTTTTCAAAAATACATGAATCGTGTTTCTTTTTCTTTCAGAAATGGCTGAGCACCACAACACGAAGCAGATATTTGACCATGGCCAGAGACCTGGTGTGCAAGGTGCAGATTCTGATAGAGAACAAGTGATTGGGTTCTCTGTCTTTCTTTTTCCTTCCAAGTAAAGTGTGAACGGCTGTAGCAGCACAAGAAGAAAACACATCTGAGAACACACACACACACACACACCACACACACACGCACACACAACCCACACACACACACACCACACAACCCACACACACCAAACAGACACACAGACACACACACACACACACACACACACACACTAAGCCTTTACAATCACAGTATGCTGCTATGAGCCTTTTTGACTGTATCCACAATGTTGTTTGTGTTGTCAACAGCTGTATCTGTAAATGATGCTACATATTTGTCAGTATGTTCAAGTGAAAACAGATGTATTTGAAAAAGCATTTTTTTCATTTAAAAATATTTTTGTGAGAAAAGTGTAAATCTTAATCAGAGTGCACTTAATTTTTGAGATAATTGTGGTTTAAGTTCCACCTTTCAAACCAAAACACAGAGCTGAATTCCACCAGAGTATATTTGTGAGATTAAAGCATTGTTATAACAGATTATGATAGATATTTTAATTGTCAAAGTCTACAAAATCAAGCCTATCAGTAAGTAACCTCCATATACCTGTCCCTTAATGAATGAAGAATGTCAGCAGACTTTTAATTTTATTTAAATCAACAACCCAAAAGAAATGACTGGCTTTTAGTCCAACATGTTACTTAAACTCCAGTTGTGTTACAGCATTATGTATCATTTAGCTTTTAGCACCATGTCAGTGAGTTAGCTTCCAACAGTATTTTTAATATTTGTAATGTTTTCGTCTGCCAAATATTGTCTTTATTTGTTAAGTGTGAATTGTACTGTAATGAGAGAAAAGTGTGTTTTAATTATGAGGATTATATTATGTCAAAGCGTAACCTAATATTGAAGTGACCTATGGATGTCTGGGCAGAGATTTATATAAAGCAACAAGCCTGATTTGTTAGCCTCTACTTATTTTTTTATTATCCAGTGAACCATTTTTTATTTTGTAAATTGTGTCGTTTACTCACCTTGATTTTTGTCTTGTGTTGTCTGTCACCTGTTCTTTGAATGTTTAGCCTCAGCATGAATATGATCATGAATTGGGACGATATGATGAGACGATTAAATATTTAGTCACAGTTACCAAATGAAAAGTTTTGCTGTGCAACGTTAATCAGATGATTTAGTGTGAGACAGATTAGACAGAGATGAACATTTAAAGTAAGTTGCGTGAAACGGTGTTGATGTTTTGGCAGATTTGGGTCTTGTGAAGACAACATATATATGCTTTTACCTCAGAAATTAATACTAATATTGGTCTCAAATACCAACATTCATTGCCTAGAACATCACTCTTTGCTCTTCGGGTGTTGTTTCATGAATATGGTGAAATGAACTGCTTTTAAAATAGGTGTTTGTTTGTGAACGCTAACTGCTGTCAGAAAACCTTTATTGTAACATTGATTAAGTAAATCATTATTTATTTATTTGTTTTCTCATTCAGATGCTGCTTTGTTGTTAAAGCTGATATTTTTATTTTGTGGCCAGTTCTAAATGTGTATTGAAAAACAATCAAATGATATACTAAGGGTTCCTATATATTAAATGGTATTATGTTCTTATAATAAACAATAAAATGGAATCATAACTATTTTTCCAAAACATCTTGCAGTGTGTTTTTATCGAACCTATAGGGGAACATTTGCTGAAGTGCTTAAGGCTAAAAACAATCAAAACAGACATTGGCTGGACCCTCAGATCAAAAATCTACAGTATAAGAAAACATACACTCTCCCGGGTCTAGTTTAATGTGTTTCTTTGTAATTTATATGATAGCAACAAGTCAAAAGTAGTCCCCTTGCAGTACTCATATATAACTAATTCATTACAAAATATACAACCATTCCCCACATTATCTCACCTCAATTCTCCTAAACAATTAATACCACAGAAAAACAAAGCGAAATGAATATACTTACATGTTAATACAGTATGTAAAGTTTGTTATTGCTCGTTATATATTTTTTTCTTAAATATAATAAAAACTTTGGTTTCAGTTTGAAACGATTTAAACATAAGAAACCGGGGAGGTGGAGTTGCATCAATAGACCCATCGTCTATTATCAGTTATTATAATACTTGCTGAGGGGACCCTGCTGCTTAAATAATGACCGGGCTGGAAATGATTCTAAGTATGCCTGTGTGCTGTGATCAGAAATTAAAATATCTTCCGCTCCCGAATAGGGACTTGAACCCTAGACCCTCAGATTAAAAGTCTGATGCTCTACCGACTGAGCTATCCGGGCTCTCAGAAGCCTACGGAATGACAAACTCCTATATAAATGTTGTTAATATACAAATATTGTCGCTAAGCGTTGTCCTGTCCATCAGAGTTATATCTCCATTTAATTATTACTTAACATTTCAAATGATAAACTGTAATGTAAATTATTAATATGACGTTTTTACAATAGTACGGATGTATCAACAACGACGACTCATATCTGGCTATGAAGCGTCGGTTTATAAATCTATCAGTATATTTCTGATGTGTTGTACTTTACACGAGTTCACTGTTAAAGGTGAAATTAATATAACAACATTATTTAACAATCGGACTTTATTGCAGTCTGTTTTTTGTTTGGGCTATATAATCCAAAAGAAAGAAGGAAGTGGAAGTGGGAAGTACCCTCTCGCTTCCTCTAGTCCCACAACATCCCATGAGCTAACGTTAGCCACAGCAGGTCGTTAGCTACATGTGCTAGTTTAGACCTCAGTACTGACCTTCCTGTTTAGTTATTTATTACTAAAAAAATGTGACAACTTTTACCTACTTCTCGGGCATATCTCACTACCTTATTATTCGGAACATGTCCGGTGGTAAATCTCGCTGTGAAACGCTCCTGTCGTGGCGTGTCACTTAATCATGTAACCTGTTAGCTAACGATGGATACTCAATAACAAACGAGGAGATCTTCCACAGAAGAAGGAACATCTTCCTGCAGAGCCACATCGACACATTTAATTAACGCGACTGTTGAGCTCTCGACGCACGTTAACTCCAAGGTAAAATAAAATGTCAATGATTTTTGATTTAACGTGAAGTCCTATGCAATCAGCACCCAAATGCAAAACAAAGACTTTGCAGCTTTAAAAGTACTATTTTATCTGTTTTATTGTAATATTTTATCTGTTTATAGTGTGTTGCACTGTTGGAGGAGCCTGTGACCTAAAGATTTTCAAAATTGTCATAACTACACCTGTAGCTATGCACACATGACAATAAAAGACTTGAAACTGTAACTTGGGTGTCTCTTCTAGGTACCAGAGGCTGCAACATGGAACCAGTACCAAAGGACGCAACTTCCCCCGGTAGGGTCCTCATGTCTAGAGTTGAACAAGATCATTATTAGCATAAAGACATGCTGTGTGAACTAATGCTCTGAAATGCATGTATATATTGTAAGTATTTAGTTAAAAGCCTTGTCTTAAACAATTGTTATTCTCAAATATATTCGATGAGGGACTAAACCCCCAGTTCTTGTTGCAGACAACAAGGGTATAAAAAGGTGTATCTGTTATTATCATGAGGCCTAGATAAAGGTTTGAAATATCAAATGGATTTCAACAGTTGATATCTCCACAGTTATCTTTTGATAAAGAATTTTTTGTAGGGAGGTGGGTTATTTTGAGTAGAGCTTCAATAATGAGTAAATTGACAAAAAATAATAATCTACTACTTTAAAGTATTTTCTGTAGCAGACAAACGGATACAAAATGCTGTTTTTAAGCCTCTGAATTATGTAGATTCCCTACTTTTATCTGTTTGATATTAAATTATAAAATATGTTAATATTAAACTGCACATCTTTTGTTTTGGGACTGACAAAACCAGACATTTAAAGACACCCAATTTAGGCTTTAAAAAACTGGGATAGACATATTTTCTTATTATCTGAGCATTTTACAGAGAAAGGAATAAATCCACAAGATAATAAGTAGATTAATTGATTATGAAAATAATATTTAGGTGGGGCTTTAGTTTTGAGGGACAAAATCTCACAATATTGTCAAAATTACAAAACTTCAGAGATTACCAAAGGTAGAGTTATTGGGGGCATGAGTAATGGCAGTGTGTGCTGATTAGAAATTATTAATGGAGGCAATTACTTTATTCAATGGTTACTAACCGTTAAAGACATTCTTAAAAGATTGTGGAAAGAATGTGTCATGCATACATTTCTTACGCAACACACTTTTAATTGACAGCCTGTACATATCCCTGCCGACCTGGTGGACCAACTGGAGCGACTGGCGCTGGTGGATTTCCGCTCCAAACAGGGACTGGCCTGTTTGGAGGAAGCCATCAGATTTGCAGATCAGCTTCATGCTGTTGACACTTCAGGGGTGGAACCAATGGATTCAGTTCTGGAGGACAGGTAAGGTTCAACCAGTTATGAAAACAGTGTATTTGTATGTTGGCCTCCTCATCCCAGCTATATCAAATGAGCCCCAACTGCAGCACAGTTTTAAACTGAGCCTATTGCATAAATATTGTTTCATCCATTCAGGTCATTAAACCTTAGGGAGGATGCAGTGACGGAAGGGGACTGTGCTGAAGAACTGCTTAAGAGCTCTCCAAATACACCATTGAAGAATATTTTGTGGCACCACCAGGTGAGAAATAAACCTGAATACATGTATTTTTAAACATTAGAGTGGATTGTATCATTGGTTTTAAATAATTAAGAGTATATGGGAATGAAATTGAACAAGGCCTCATTGGTTGCTGATGTACTTCTGCCTCTCTACACTTGCTTGCACTATATGCCTCTTCCCATACATTTGTACTACTACTGGCTTCTCTATGGTTGAATAGCAATTCAGAGTTTTTTCCAAATATTAATATGGACTAGTGCAATATCCAAATCGCACAATATTTGATGAGGTTAAATGTGTGTAAAGATACCATTTTCTATTAAGCAGTGTTGTGATTCACAAACCAGATTCTAAAGACTTAGAAATCTTAGTTAGGTACAGATCCTCACAGAAGAAATCCGCATGATCAATTTCATATATTATTCAATGAAAATAAGATTAATGATGCAATAATCCCCATTCCCTCCAACATAGTGAGATATGTCACAATTGCAATGAAAGTCAAATTACACGTGATGACATTTTCTTCTATATTGTTCTGCTCTGCTCGCCCTCAGTGTATAAATCTCCCTGTGTGTTCACATCTTAACGTCTATACCTGTGCTTTTATCTACAGTTTGTATGTTGACAACTGTCCCTCTTTTATCTGGTATATCTTTGTGTATTCATTTCACACTGTTCATACTGTTAATACTGTAGGCATCATACCCTGAGCGTTTGTAATCAATCCGTTTAGTTCTCTCTATGCTCTGTACATTAATTTAAACTAAAGGATGATGTATCGTTTTTCATCCTGTTTCATTGTAACTGTAAATAACTGACATTTATTTATTTCACCACAGGAAATATTCCTCTACCAACGAGGGAGGAAAGGGCCACCATACTGAAACACTCAGAGTTATGATATTCATTACAAAATAGTACATTTTGAAGTTAAATAAAAACCTTAAGGTCCTGCATTAAGATTGTGTTATTGTTATTGTTCGGTTTCATTTACACCTGCTGCAGTTTGGTTACTTCTCTTCTTAGTTTCGGTTTCATGTCAGCAACATGGTGAGTCAGCAGTGTTTGGACAACCTGTGTTAGGAGGGACATTGATAAGGAATGTTGTACAGGGCTGGTGATTTACATTGTGACAGTGATTTCAGATGGTCCTGCTTTTATTCAAAGTGTTGTTTTAACTTTGGTAATAAAAAAATATTTTTCTATCTTTTTGTTTTGTTTGTTTTAGGTTTACTGTGTGTGGCTAATAATAGACTCTGACGTGTTATTTACATTTATCTGATGAAAGGATTTTCCCTTTCCTTTTAAAAACTAGACCTGTCAGTGCATGATCTAATCTGTGAATCATCATGTGCCTAAGGCTCTGATCCAATCACTTGTTGTATATAGACTCTTATTGCACTATTTCCCTATTTTTTGTTTTTGTATTACTTGCTACTACTTTTTCTGTTTTTCCAGTTGTATTGTGTTGCACTGTTTGGAGGAGCCTGTGACCTAAGATTTCCATCGACATAACTACACTGTAGCTATGTACGTATGACAAATTTAAGCCTTGAACCTTGATCCCAGGTGGGGGTCACCTGAGCTTTACAGGGGGGTTGTGAGGCCTTAATTTATGGTGTAAAAAAACGTTTTAGTCTGTATTATTATTTAAGATATAAACTAATTATCACAGGAGGAGGGCCAAGACCTGAATGAACAGAGCGTTCCCTCTATGCTGAACAGTCGTCCTGCATTAATAAAGTATAAAGTTAGAAAACCAAAGATATAACAGAACAATGTCAAAGCGTAAGGGAGTGTAAAAGTGTAGTAAAAGAGAAGAGACTATTTATTATTTCCAATTGTTAAAACAAATACACCATACAGAAAGAAATGTTATCAACAGTTTCCAAAAATACCAGCAAAACTCATCTGATGCAATAATTACACAAAATAATCTGCTTTAATTGCATGCCATTTATCTTAGACAAACTTCCTACAGTTATCGCGTTCACTTTTTGGGTTAACTGTACAGTCTAGTCTTAGTTCAGTACTGTTATTGTTATGGTTAACTTTAAACCAGGGGTGTCCAAACTTTTTCACCGAGGTCCAAATACAGAAAAATATACGAAGGGCTGGGCCCCTCACTAGAGGTATATTGCCTCATAAATTCAGTTATAAGTTAGCTAAATCAATCAAATGTAGGTCAATGATGCTTGTGAGTGTTAGCAGCTCATCCCTTCAAACAGAAGCTCAGATTGATTATAATAAGGAGAGATAAGGGTATTTTTCAAGCTTGTTATGTAAATAAGTCATAGGGCTTTTTTCTTATCAAAAAAGATATGTTAGAAAATGTTTCCAACTTGAATTGACTTAATTTATTTGAAAAGTGGTCTTATTAACACATGCATAGTACTGTGTTAATAAGACCACTTGTCCATGTTCCATCATACTTTTTTAATTTGCTTAGGGCCGATTCAAAATGGTCCCGCGGGCCGTAGTTTGGACACCCCTGGTTTTAAACCTATGAAATAACAATACTAAAGAGTCACTTTGAGTTTATCATGAGTCGTCAGTTTATTCCAATTAAAGAAAAAAACTTTACGTCAAGGGGAAAGTCCGGGACTACGCCCTTGTGCACTTTACAATGTCCAAAACACTGCCGGTCATTTTTTGGAGATTAGAAACCGAAAATGATGAAGGCATGGAAGGGAAAACGAATCTTAAACCAGGGGGCGGGGCTCGATCAGCTGGGCAGACTGTATATAAACAGAGGAGAGAAGAAGCCTGCGTCAGCTGCTCCGGAGAAACGATTCCTGTCAGTTTAAAGAAGAGCGACGATTTCTGGAGGATTTTTCTAAACTTATCTCAAGGTATGAAGTTTTCTTTATCAGCACTCATGAAATGTACCGCAACACTTTATTCTCTGGGGGAAAAAAGGGTTTTTCTAGTGGACTTATTTGTATTAATGTATTCAGTGATGTAAAGTATAGAATATATTCACTGTACTTTTTTAATGAGGGACTTGTAGTTATTTATTTAAATGTTTTGCTACTTTGTAGCCTACTTATAAAGTTCCAAGGTAAATAGTGTACTTTTACTCCACTGCATTTATTTATTACATTTAGTTACCTTGCAGATTTGCATTAATGGTGTGAAATGGTTACCCCACAGTATTCACATTTATTTAATAGGCTGTACCTTTACCAGCTTTGATAACACTTTAATGTATCAATAAAATAATAATGAAAACATGTAACTTATATTATTCTGAAATAGGCCAATCTGCATAATATGTACTTTTACCTTTAGTACTTTAAGTATATTTGTATGCTAATACTTTTGTACTTTTACTTGAGTAACATTTTGAATGCACAACTTTTACTTGTAAAAGAGTATTCCTACACTCTGGTACTTCTACTTTTAATTAAGTACACACTCTTAGTATTTCTTCCACCTCTCAATGTATTTACCTTTCTTTCAGGCCACTTTCACCATGGATCTAACCATCAGTCTGATGAATGGGAGCTCCCACATCCTGAGGGTGCACCCGCATGACACAGTGGACTCTCTGAAAATACTCATCCAGCAGAAACTAGGGATTTCATGTGAGTCCCAGAAGCTGGTCTTTGAGAACGGCTTGCAGCACAACTCTCAACAACGACTCTGCGACCCTCGAGTCCTACGGTCTGCACTCCGGGGCCAAGGTGAACCTGCTGGTGACCACACCGGCCATAATCCAGGTGTTCCTCAAAAACGAGAAGGGGGTGAGCAGCACGTATGACATCAAACCGGATGAGACGGTGGAGCCACTTCAGGAGCAGGGTGGAGGAGAGAGAGCGGGTCCCGGTGAGCCAGCAGAGGCTCCTCCACGAGAGCAGAGAAATGAACGAGGGGAAACTCTCCGACTACAACGTCCGAGCAAATAGCACCATCTTCCTGAACCTGCGGCTGAGAGGAGGCTGAGGACACTTTCAGTTAAAAGACATTTCTGGACATTCCTTTATTTTATCTAAAAATGAAGATCATTTAGCTTGTATTTTATTTAAATTGCACTCATTAATACATTCCTCGATTAGAAATCATTCCAAAAATAAAACTTTCTTTGTTTTGGCTTTACAAATATGTTATAAACACATCTTCATGTTATAACTTTATTATGACACTTCACATTCTGACTACATCAAATGTACACTGTTAAAAAATAATAAAGATTTTAATCTTGCATGTCTGTTCTCATTTCCTGTTCCTTACTGAATCTTCAGCTCAGGGTTGAGCTGCACTCTGTACATACCACAACCAGAAGTAACCAGAAAGACACACTTTAGCATTGGATTAAAATTGACATTATGATCAAAATCATAATCAATGTTCACTACAGTATCATATTCTGTAAGCAGTGCTCTGTAAAAAAAACACTTACATGTATTATGTTGTCATTACAAATGTACTAACATACCAAAGCATGTTATAAAGGCTTAAACTCATTATACAGGTTTCTTAGGTGTATCCAAATAACTGTATGTGAGAATTAGTGTCCATCTTAGAAACAGGTCAAAAGGTAGTAGAGGCAACAGCCCGATGTTTAAAGCCACAGCTTCCGGTTCAGTGAGGTTAGGGTCGGGAAGCTTCATTTCCTCACAGATGCAAGGTAGGCCGTACCAAAATAAGGCGACCATGTTGGCAAACAGCACTCGGAACTGAAAGCAAAAACAGACACAGGAAGGGAAGGGAAGGGGGAAACCATTACAAGAGATTAATCTTTTGTTGATGACAGGATGCCAATGAATGAAGGGCATACCTCGGACAGGCACAAAGTTGATATTGACGAACTGAAAGGGAATCCACACTTTCCAGTTCATTTTCAAGGCAGTCCAGTAACTTCCTCTCATCTTGCCTTTCAAAGTCTCTCCATCCTTTTGCCTGGGAAAAAGATGGGACGGTAATTTGGTTTCATTTATTTTTCATTTGTCTATGAAAACGATAAAGCATGTGTTTACTATACAATAAACATGAAGACACTGGACCAAATACTGTGGTCAAAATGTAGGTTGAAGCATTGCATGAGTGTTTTAATCATGTTAAAGGGGCAGTTTGCCATTTGAACACATCAGATTAGTAATGGGAAAAAGAACTGCGAGCAGCAATGATCTTTTTTGCATAGCAGAGGTCTGCTCTATAGACAGACCGAAGAATGCAGTTGACAATCAGAATCAAGTATTCACAAATCTGTTCACTAATAAATATAATTTTGTCTGAGATAATGATTGTTTTGGCCATGTTTTATGAAATTTAGCAGGAGAAGAACAGGTGGGTTTACATCAGTTCTGCAGGTTTTCAATAAAAGACGGGTTTGATCCGGATCTAGGAAGGTCATTTCGGGGGCTTCTTAAATCTCTGATTTTTAAAACTGTAAAGACCTTTAACAGGAAGTTCTATTAAACCTGTATAATGCAAACAAATTTGAACAAAAAAACTGTTGTGACTAACTGGGTTATTGAAAATATGCTTTCATGTTGCATGACAGGAAGTGTATCCTGAAATGTTTCTCCTTCAACCATACTAAAACCAATTGCTCCCTCTGCTGCTGCAATTGTGTATTCCCACAACTTAATGCCGGATCATCTCAAATCACTACCGAGCTCCTTTAATCTGATGGTAAGGGGGACAGTTTCTGAGATGACCTACCTCCAGGATGTTCATAACAAAGTATAACATCAGCAGAAAGCCAGGGGCAAAAACAAGCCGATCCAGTAGCAGACGTTTGACTATTGTTGTGGAAAACTTCTTTATCTATCAATAATCTGCCATGGAGATGTACTAGTAATGACGATAAATGGGTCTTTCAGCAAATCAGAGTTGTCTTTCGTTGGTTCTTTATTTGAAGCGCTTGAAAGGTACATGTCTCACAGAATACAGAGTAGTCTGCAGGTGTTAGGATCTTGTCTGTGTTGTTGTTTTGTCTTGTCTTTTCTATCTTTGGTTTCACTGTGTTATTTTGTAAAGTGTTCCACCCCCGTTTCCTGCCTGTTTGCTTTTTGGTCTGTTTTCCTCCTGATTACCCGATTGTGTTCACCTGGTTGCCTCTGTGTTTTCTCCTCCCTCCTCACCTGTCTCGTGTTTGTTTGATTAGTCCTGGGTGTATTTAAGTTTCGGGTTTTTCTGTCTCTCTTTGTCGGGTTGTCTTGTGTAATGAGACCAGTTCATCGGTGAGTGTTCTGTTCTGTCTTTGTTGTATATCTAGCCCTTGAAATAAAGGAATTATTTTTACTCTAATCTGCATTTGGGTCCTGCTTCCTGCACACCGTAACATTACAACCCGACCAAAATATGGGCCCAGCAGATCCTTTTGAGCAGGAGCTATTGGAGTTTTCCTTTGCTTTGGATGACTGCTCGTATCGATGGTTGGGAGCGTCCAGGGTTCAGCAGCGAGAGGCTGTTCTGGCAGAGGCACGCCGGATTACTATGGAGAAGCCAGGCTTGGTTAAATTCTTATCGGGCAGGATTTTGGATTTTCTCACGGACTTCGGTGTGTTATCCCCTGCCTGACAGCCCCAGGCCTCCCAACTCCCGTTTTTGATACCACACGCATCGGTGTGGTCCATCTGGCGTCAGCCCCTGCTTCTCACCCAGTGTTTGCTACAGTCCAGGAGCCATTCGCTGGTACTCGTCTCTTTGGAGGTCCCACGGAGCCTCCAAACGGCTCCTAAAGGAAGGAGTCGCAAGGCCAGGTTGGCAGCACGAGCCCAAAGGGCCAGGGTTCCAGAACCAGTTCAGCCCCCAGCAGCCATGGTTACAGCCATAGTTCCAGACCTAGTACAGGCCCCAACAGCCATGGTTACAGCCCCAGTACAGGCCCCAGCAGCCATGTTTCCGGCCATAGTTCCAGACCTAGTACAGGCCCCAGCAGCCATGGTCCCGGCCCCAGTCCCGGCCCCAGCAGCCATGGTCCCGGCCCCAGCAGCCATGGTTCCAGACCCAGTCCCGGCCCCAGCTGCCATAGTCCCTTCTCTAGTCCCTTCCCTAGTCCCTCCTCAGGTCACTTTCCTAGTCCCTTCTCCAGTCACACCTCTAGTCACTTCTCTAGTCACTTCTCAAGTCCCTCCTCTGGTCCCTTCCCGAGCCCCTTCTCTAGTCTCTTCTCTCTTCTCTAGTCCTTTCCTAGTCCCTTCTCTAGTCCCTTCTCTAGTCCCTACTCAATTCCTTTCTCAAGTCCTTTCTCAAGTACCTCCTCTAGTCACTTCCCTAGTCCCTTCTCAAGTCCCCCCTTTAGTCACCTCTCTAGTCCCTTCCCGAGTCCCTTCTCTAGTCCCACCTCTAGTCCCACTTCGAGTCCCCTTTCGAGATACCTCTCAAGCCCTCTCTCCAGTCACCTCTCGAGTCTCTTCTCGAGTCCCCTCTCAAGTCACCTCTCAAGTCCCCTCTCGAGTCACCTCTCGAGTACCATCTCTAGTCCCTTCTCAAGTCCCTCCTCTAGTCAGTTCTCTAGTCCCCTCTCTGGTCCCTTCCCGAGTCCCTCCTATAGTCCCTTCTCTAGTCCCATCTCTAGTCCCTACTCAAGTCCCTCCTCTAGTCAATTCCCTACTCCCATCTCTAGTCCCTCCTCTAGTCACTTCTCCAGTTCCCTCCAGTCCCCTCTCCAGTTCCCTCCTCTAGTCCCTCCTCTAGTTCCCTCCTCTAGTCCCTCCTCTAGTTCCTCCTCTAGTCCCTCCTCTAGTTCCTCCTCTAGTCCCTCTTCAAGTCCCCTCTCTAGTCCCTCCTCAAGTCCCCTCTCGAGTCCCCTCTCGAGTTCCCTTCTCTAGTCTCTCCTCTAGTCTCTCCTCTAGTCCCCTCTGGAGTCCCCTCTCTAGTTCCCCTCTGGAGTCCCCTCTCTAGTTCCCCTCTGGAGTCCCCTCTCGAGTTCCCCCTTGGTTCCCCTCTCGAGTCCCCTCTCGAGTCACGTCTCAAGTCCCTACCCAATGTCCTGGTCCGTTGGAGGTCCGCTGGGGGGTCCTGCCAACTCCATGTCCTGTCCCGTTGGAGGCCCCGCCGTCTACTCTCCTGCGGGGGTCCTGCCAATCCTATGTCCTGTGCCGTTGGAGGCCCCGCCGACTACTCTCCTGCCGGGGGTCCTGCCAACCCTGTGTCCTGTCCCGTTTGGAGGCCCGCCGACTACTCTCCTGCCGGGGGTCCTGCCAACCCTTTGTCCTGTCTCGTTGGAGGTCCCGCCGTCTACTCTCCTGCCGGGGGTCCTGCCAATCCTATGTCCTGTGCCGTTGGAGGCCCCGCCGACTACTCTCCTGCCGGGGGTCCTGCCAACCCTGTGTCCTGTGCCGTTGGAGGCCCGGCTGACTACTCTTCTATCGGGGGTCCTGCCAACCCCGTGTCCTGTCTCGTTGGAGGTCCCTGACGACTACTCTCCTGCCGGGGGTCCTGCCAACCCTTTTGTCCTGTGCGTTGGAGGCCCCGCCGACTACTCTCCTGCCGGGGGTCCTGCCAACCCTTGTCTGTCCCCTTGGAGGGTCCCCCGCCGTCTACTTCCCTGCGGGGGTTTTCCTGCCAGCTCCTTGTCCTGTCCGTTGGGGGTCCCGCCGACTGCCCTCCTGCCGAGGGTCCTGCCAACTCCTGGTCCTCTTCCGTGGGGAATCTTGCTGACACCCTGTCCCACCAGCTCCGGATCCTGTCCGGTCGGACACCGGCTCCTGCCCGGCCTCCGGAGCTGTCCGGTCTTCTGCCCTCGAGCCCGGCCCCCCCCTGAGAGATACGGTCTTCGCCCTCTCAAGCCCGGCCCCCTGAGAGCCGCGGGTCTTCACCCTCGAGCCCGGCCCCCCTGAGAGCCGCAGTCTTCGCCCTCGAGCCCGGTCCACTGACTCTTCCTGCCGTTGCCTTCGCCCTCGGGCCCGGCCCCCCTGACTCTTCCTACCGCTGCCTTCGCCCCTCCATGGTCCCCACCTTGGACTCTGTCTTGCCCCCGGGCCGTCCGCCCGAGACCCCTTCCTGGTCTTCTGCCTTGCCCCCCGGGCCGTCCGCCCGAATTCCCCTTTTTGGACTCTGCCTGCCCCCGGGCCGTCCGCCCGAGACCCCTTCCTGGTCCTCTGCCTTGCCCCCGGGCCGTCCGCCCGAGACCCCTTCCTGGTCCTCTGCCGTGCCCCTGGGCGGTCAGTTCAGTCCCGTCCTCCTGACCCCCTCCACCCACCCTGGTGGCTTAGTGATGCGTCCCTCCTCCAGACCCCCTCCATCCACCCTGCTTGAGGTTTTGGATTTTGTTTGTTTTTTGGGACGTCTGGGATCCGTCCCTTGAGGGGGGGGTACTGTTAGGATCTGTCTGTGTTGTTGTTTTGTCTTGTCTTTTTCTATCTTTGGTTTCCTGTGTTATTTTGTAAAGTGTTCACCCCCGTTTCCTGCCTGTTGCTTTTTGTCTGTTTCCCTCCCTGATTACCCGATTGTATTCACCTGGTGCCTCTGTGTTTTATCCTCCCTCCTCACCTGTCTCGTGTTTGTTTGATTAGTCCTGGGTGTATTTAAGTTCTGGGTTTTCTGTCTCTCTTTGTCGGGTTGTCTTGTGTAATGACCAGTTCATCGGTGAGTGTTCTGTTCTGTCTTTGTGTATATCTAGCCTTGAAATAAAGGAATTATTTTTACTCTAATCTGCATTTGGGTCCTGCTTCCTGCACACCGTAACAGCAGGAGTGTGCACAATAGTCACAGAATGGCAAAGCTTATAGGGCGGGCAGACAGAGTTTTGTGTAGCTAGGCGGAACGCCTCAGCAATCTGCTTTCACACAGATGTCTCATATTGCTATTAGACACATGTGTCCTTGAGCTGTTTGAGTGTAACAGAAACATTCTATGGAAGTTCAAAACTTTGTGTGAAGAGGAGTAGTTTCAACATAGTCTGCCCAAATCAGCTCTGTGGCCTTGAAGCGCTTGAGAATAATAACCCTCATAAGGGCATGCAGAGAAAACAGCACATATCAAAAAATGGTACAGTAGTGTGTAGAAGCATTTGGTTTTACCATATATAAGGTAACATAAGAAATTGCCACTACACTATGCAGAGCGGGTCTGTTGCGGGCATCCACACCTCCCTCAGCTGGTAGAAGATATGGCTCACTGGACCTGTGATAAAAAAACCTGAAATACACAGGAACATAGAGGACAGGTAATTTCCCCACAATTGGTGATGCATTTTAGCTCACAATCACAAACCCTTACATGTATTTTCCTGTTATTTAGCACATCAACCCTCAATTTTGTTTCCATATAAGATCACACCCAAAGGTTGCATATCGAGCAGCTGCAGCCGGGTCGATCTCACCGACCGGGGCTCCACTCTTGATCTTTTTTCATGCCTCCAAAATCTGAGACGGAAGATGTCCTAAAGCTGAGCTCTGACATTTTACAGAGAACATAATAAATCTACAAGATAATCAGTGGATTAATTGATTATGAAAATAATATTTAGGTGTGGCTTTAGTTTTGAGGGACAACATCTCACAATATTTTCAGCATTACAAAACTTCAGAGATTACCAGAGGTGGAGTTATTGGGCATGAGTCATGGCAGTGTGTGCTGATTAGAAATGATTCATGGAGGCAATTACTTTATTCAATGGTTACTAACAGTTAAAGACATTCTTAAAATGTTGGGGAAAGAATGTGTCATGCATACATTTCTTACGCAACACACTTTTAATTGACAGCCTGTGCATATCCCTGCCGACCTGGTGGACCAACTGGAGCGACTGGCGCTGGTGGATTTCCGCTCCAAACAGGGACTGGCCTGTTTGGAGGAAGCCATCAGATTTGCAGATCAGCTTCATGCTGTTGACACTTCAGGGGTGGAACCAATGGATTCAGTTCTGGAGGACAGGTAAGGTTCAACCAGTTATGAAAACAAGTGTATTTGTATATTGGCCTCCTCATCCCAGCTATATCAAATGAGCCCCAACTGCAGCACAGTTTTAAACTGAGCCTATTGCATAAATATTCTTTCATCCATTCAGGTCATTAAACCTTAGGGAGGATGCAGTGACGGAAGGGGACTGTGCTGAAGAACTGCTTCAGCTCTCCAAACACACTGTTGAAGAATATTTTGTGGCACCACCAGGTGAGAAAAAAACTGAATACATGTATTTTATGCATTAGAGCGGATTGAATAATTGGTTTGGAAGGTCACCTATTATGCAAAATCCACTTTTTCATGTCTCTTCTACATCAACATGTGTCCCTCTATAAAGAGATTCTAAAAGTTTCAGGAAAAAAGATTCTCTCACTTTCTGTCCATTTATATAAAATCCTCTCTGAAAATAAGCTGATCAGATTTTGGCCACTTCATGATGTCACCGAGTTATTTTGGCTTGTGTAACCATTAGCAAATAACCAACCAGGTAACCCCCCCCCCCCCCCCCCCCTACCTTATCACCTGCATCTCCTCCTAGAGCACCATTGTGTTCTTTTTAACCAAATCTCTCTCAGAGGGGCGTGGGGAGTGGCTCCTTATTTTCATCTAAAGTAACAGACAGAGAATCAGCACTTTTGAAACAGGGCTGAAACAGAGGGGATTATGGGATGCTGCAATTATCTGTTTGGAGCCAAACACTTCAAGACATGTTTGTATATATCTGAGCCCTATATATATGGATAAAAACCATATAATAGGGGACCTTTAAGAAATCTTAGTTAGGTACAGATCCTCGCAAAAACAATCAGCATGATCAATTTCATATATTATTCAATGAAAATAAGATTAATGATGAAATAATCACCATTCCCTCCAACATAGTGGGATATATCACAATTGCAATGAAAGTCAAATTAAACGCATTCAACTTTTTTCTATATTGTTCTGCTCTCGCCCTCAGTGTATAAATCTCCCTGTGTGTTCACATCTTAACGTCTATACCTATGCTTTTATCTACAGTTTTTATGTTGCCAACTGTCTCTATTTTGTTATCCTGTATGTTATTCATTTCACACTGTTCATACTGTTAATACTGTAGGCATCATACCCTGAGCGTTTTGTAATCAATCCGTTAGTTATTCTCTCTATGCTCTGTATAATAATTTAAACTAAAGGATGATGTATCGTTTTCATCCTGTTTGATTGTAACTGTAAATATCCTTAACTGACATTTATTTATTTCACCACAGGAAATATTCCTCTACCAACGAGAGAGGAAAGGGCCACCATACTGAAACACTCAGTGTCACGATTATTGTGCTATGTCACGTTTTTAGTTTGTATGTCTAGTTTGGGTTTATTTTGCTGTTCGGTTCTCCCTGTCATGTTTTCCTCCTTGTGTATTGTCTGGTCCCTCTCTCGTGTTTTTCCTCCTTCGTTAGTTTCCCTGGTGTCTAATTGTCTGATTGTGTTCACCTGTTGCCCTTCTGTTTCTCCTCCCCTGCCCGGCTGTTTCTCGTCTCGTGATTACCCCTCCCTGTATTTAGTCTTGTCTCTTCTTGTGTTCAGTGTTGGTTCGCCTTTTGTTGGTGACTGAGTTCACCGGGGAGTGTTCTGTTTGTCCGAGTTATATTATTATCCTAGAAATAAAGGTGATATCAGTGTTATCTGCATTTGGGTCCTGCTTGTTTCACTCACCGTAACACTCAGTTGTGATATTCATTACAAATAGTACATTTTGGAAGTTAAATAAAACCTTAAGGTCCTGCATTAAGATTGTGTTATTGTTATGTTCGGTTCATTTACACCTGCTGCAGTTTGGTTACTTCTCTTCTTAGTTTTGGTTTCATGTCAGCAACATGGTGAGTCAGCAGTGTTTGGACAACCTGTGTTAGGAGGACATTGATAAGGAATGTTGTACAGGGCTTGTGACTTACATTGTGACAGTGATTGTCAGATGTCCTGCTTTTATTCACGTGTTGTTTAACTTTGGTAATAAAAAAATATTTTCTATATTTTTGTTTTGTTTGTTTTAGGTTTACTGTGTGTGGCTAATAATAGACTCTGACGTGTGATTTACATTTTATCTGATGAAAGGATTTTCCCTTTCCTTTTAAAAACTAGACAGACATGTCAACACATGAATCTAATCTGTGAATCATCATGTGCCTTAAGGCTCTGATCACCTGAGTTTTGGGAGGTTGTGAGGCCTTCATTTAAGTGGTGTAAAACAACGTTTTAGTCTGTATTATTATTTAAGATACAAACTAATTATCACAGGAGGAGGGCCAGGTAAAGACCTGAACAGAGCATTCCCTCAATGCTAAACAGTCCTCCTGCATTAGTAAAGTATAAAGTTAGAAAAACCAAAGAGATAACAGAACAATGTTAAAGCGTAAGGGAGAAGGAAACCCATGAATGTGTAGCAAAAGAGAAGAAACTATTATTTCCAATTATTAAAACAAATACACCATACAGAAAGAAATGTTATCAACCAGTTTCCAAAAATACATCTCTGATGCAATAATTACACAAAATAATCTGCTTTAATTTCATGCAATTTATCTTAGACAAACTCCTACAGTTATCGCGTTCACTTTTGGTTTAACTGTACAGTCTAGTCTTAGTTCAGTACTGTTATTGTTATGGTTTAAACCAGGGGTCTCCAAACTTTTTTCACCAAAGGCCACATACAGAAAAATATACGAAGGGCTGGGCCCCTCACTAGAGGTATATTGCCTCATTAGTTCATTTATAAGTTAGCTAAATCAATCAAATGTAGGTAAATTATGCTTGTGAGTGTTAGCAGCTCATCCCTTCAAACAGAAGCCTCAGATTGGCCTAATAAGGAGAAATAGGAAGGGTGTATTTCAAGCTTGTTATGTAAATAAGTTATAGGGCTTTTTTCTTATCAAATAAGATATGCTAGAAAAATGTTTCCAACTTTAATTGACTGAATTTATTTGAAAAGTGGTCTTATTAACACATGAATACTACTGTGTTAATAAGACCACTTGTCCATGTTCCATTTATACTTTTTATTTTATTTGCTGAGGGCCGATTCAAAATGGTCCGCGGGCCGTAGTTTGGACACCCCTGGTTTTAAACGTAACAATACTAAAGAGTCACTTTGAGTTTATCATGAGTCGTCAGTTTATTCAATTACAGAAAAAAACTTCACGTCAAGGGGAAAGTCCGGGACTACACCCTTGTACAATGTCCAAACACTGCAGGTCATTTTTGGAGATTTAGGAAACCGAAAATGATGAAGGCATGGAAGGGAAAACGAATCTTAAACCAGGGGGCGGGCTCGATCAGCTGGGCAGACTGTATATAAACAGAGGAGAGAAGAAGCCTGCGTCAGCTGCTCCGAGCATCGATTCCTGTCAGTTTAAAGAAGAGCGACGATTTCTGGAGGATTTTTCTAAACTTATCTCAAGGTATGAAGTTTTCTTTATCAGCACTGTCATGAAATCTACCGAGACACTTTATTCTCTGGGGGGGGAAAAGGTTTTTTCAAGTGAACTTATTTGTATTAATGTATTCAGTGATATAAAGTATAGAATATATTCACTGTACTTTTTTTTTAATGAGGGACTTGTTGGGGATGTTTTGTTACTTTGTACTAATAAAGTTCAAAGGTAAATAGTGTACTTTTATTACACTGCATTTATTTATTACATTTAGTTACCTTGCAGATTTGCATTAATGGTGTGAAATGGTTACCCCACAGTATTCTCTTCTATTTAATAGGCTGTACCTTTACCAGCTTTGATAACACTTTAATGTATCAATAACATAAAAACATGTCATTTATATTATTCTGAAATAGGCCAATCTGCATAATGAGTACTTTTACCTTTGGTACTTTAAGTATATTTTTATGCTAATACTTTTGTACTTTTACTTGAGTAACATTTTTAATGCACAACTTTTACTTGTAAAAGAGTATTCCTGCACTCTGGTACTTCACTTTTAATTAAGTACACACTCTTAGTATTTCTTCACCTCTCAATGTATTTACCTCTCTTTCAGGCCCACTTTCATCATGGATCTAAACCATCAGTCTGATGAATGGGAGCTCCCACACCCTGAGGGTGCACCCGCATGACACAGTGGGCTCTCTGAAAATACTCATCCAGCAGAAACTAAGGATTGCATGTGAGTCCCAGGAAGCTGGTCTTTGAGAACGGCTTGCAACACAACTCTCAAACAACGACTCTGCGACCCTCGAGTCCTACGGCCTGCGCTCCGGGGCCAGGGTGAACCTGCTGGTGACCACACCGGCCATAATCCAGGTGTTCCTCAAAAACGAGAAGGGGGGTGAGCATCACGTATGACATCAAACCGGATGAGACGGTGAGCCACTTCAAGAGCAGGGTGGAGGAGAGAGAGCGGGTCCCGGTGAGCCAGCAGAGTCTCGTTCACGAGGGCAGAGTGATGAACGAGGGGAAACTCTCCGACTACAACGTCCGAACGCATAGCACCATCTCCCTGAACCTGCGCCTGAGAGGAGGCTGAGGACACTTTCAGTTAAAAGACATTTCTGGAAATTCCTTTATTTCATCTTAAAAATGAAGATCATTTAGCTTGTATTTTATTTATTTTTATTTAAATTGCACTCATTAATACATTCCTCGATTAGAAATCATTCCAAAAAGAAAACTTTCTTTGTTTTGGCTTAACAAATATGTTATGAACACATCTTCATGTTATAAACTTTAATTATGAGCAAATTGGTTCCACTGCATGTTTTTTAAAGCAAGGATATGTGCAATGATACTTGATACTGTTGGTACTTGTCAATGTCGCTAGGTATGTAAATGTCGACCTGTAAATCTGATGTCCTTTATTGTTTTCTGTTGTTTTATTTTCATGTTGTAACATACTTGCTGCCATGTTGGGCAGGTCTCCCTTGAAAAAGAGATCGATGATCTCAATGGGAACCACCTGGTTAAATAAAGGTTTGAATGAATGAATGACACTTCAAAATCTGACTACATCAAATGTACACTGTTACTGTTACACTGTAATAAAGATTGTAATCTTGCACGTCTGTTCTCATTTCTGTTCTTTACTGAATCTTCAGCTCAGAGTTGAGCTGCACTCTGTACAGACCACAACCATACGAAGTAACCAGAAAGACACACTTTAGCATTGGATTAAAATTGACATTATGATCAAATCATAATCAATGTTCACTACAGTATCATATTTCTGTAAGCAGTGCTCTGTAAAAAACACTTACAGTATTATGTTGTCATTACAAATGTACTTACATACCCAAAGCATGTTATAAAGGCTTAAACTCATTATACAGGTTTCTTAGGTTTATCCAAATAACTGTATGTGAGAATTAGTGTCCATCTTAGAAACAGGTCAAAAGGTATAGTAGAGGAAACAGCCCGGTGTTAAAGCCACAGCTTTCGGTTCAGTGAGGTTAGGTCGGGAAGCTTCATTTCCTCACAGATGCAAGGTAGGCGTACCAAAATAGGCGAACCATGTTGGCAAACAGCACTCGGAACTGAAAGCAAAAACAGACACAGGAAGGGAAGGGGGAAACCATACAAGAGATTCATCTTTGTTTGATGACAGGATGCCAATGAATGAAGGGCATACCTCGACAGGCACAAAGTTGATATTGACGAACTGAAAGGGAGTCCACACTCTTCCAGTTCAGTGTTTCAAAGGCAGTGCCAGTAACTTCCTCTCATCTTGGCTTCAAAGTCCCGTTTGGCCTGGGAAAAAGATGGGATGGTCATTAATTTATTTTTCATGTTGTCTATAATGAAAACTATATAGCATATTTAACTATACAATTAACAGGAAGACACTGGACCAAATACTGTGGTCAAAATGTAGGTTGAAAGCATTGCATGAATGTTTTAATCATGTTAAAAGGGGCACGTTTGCCATTGTAACACATCAGAGTTAGTGAAAAAAATGGGAGGGAAAAAGAACTGCGAGCAGCAATGATCTTTTTTGCATAGCGGGGGTCTGTTTCTATAGACAGACGAAGAATGCAGTTGACAATCAGAAGCAAGTATTCACAAATCTGTTTCACTAATAAATATAATTTTGTCTAAGATAATGATCGTTTTGGCCATGTTTTATGAAATGTAGCAAGAGAAGAACAGGTGGGTTCAATGTCAGTTCTGCATGAGTCTGGAGCACAGGTTTTCAATAAAAGATCGGGTTTTGATCACGGATCTAGGAAGGTCATTTAAGGGGCTTCTTAATCTCTGATTTTTAAAACTGTAAAGACCTTTAACAGGAGTTCTATTAAACCTGTATAATGCAAACAAATTTGAACAAAAAAACTGTTGTGACTAACTGGGTTATTGAAAATATGCTTTCATGTTGCATGACAGGAAGTGTATCCTGAATGTTTCTCCTTCAACCATACTAAAACCAATTGCTTCCCTCTGCTGCTGCAATTGTGTATTCCCACAATTTAATGCCGGATCATCTCAAATCACTACCGAGCTCCTTTAATCTGATGGTAAGGGGGACAGTTTCTGAGATTGACCTACCTCCAGGATGTTCATAACAAAGTATAACATCAGCAAGAAAGCCAGGGGCAAAACAAGCCGATCCAGTAGCAGACGTTTGACAATTGTTGTGGAAAACTTCTTTATCTATCAATAATCTGAGATTGTACTAGTAATGATCAATAAATGCGTCTATTCAGCAAATCAGAGTTGTCTTTCGTTGGTTATTTATTTGAAGCGCTTGAAAGGTACATGTCTCACAGAATACAGAGTAGTCTGCAGGAGTGTGCACAATAGTCACAGAATGGCAAAGCTTATAGGGCGGGCAGACAGAGTTTTGTGTAGCTAGGCGGAACGCCTCAGAAATCTGCTTTCACACAGATGTCTCATATTGCTATTAGACACATGTGTCCTTGAGCTGTTTGAGTGTAACAGAAAACATTCTATGGAAGTTCCAAACTTTGTTGTGAAGAGGAGTAAGTTTCAACATAGTCTGCCAAATCAGCTCTGTGGCCTTGAAGCGCTTGAGAATAATAACCCTCATAAGGGCATGCAGAGCACATATCAAGAAATGGTACAGTAGTGTGTAGAAGCATTTGGTTTTAGCATATATAAGGTAATGTCACAAAGTGAATAAAGTCAGTATGTTAGACAGTGGGACGGATGGTTAAACCTTTTATATAATTGTTGCATGTTACA